ACGACAGCGACCGGTCAGAGGAGGGTGGGACTGAAGCAGGTGAGGACGTGATCACACGACCTCACCCATGTCTGGTTTTTTCAGGGAAACAGGAAAACTTTGAAGAATTTTTAACTCTCATAATTTGAGGAAAACAACTCAGGTTTTGAGAAAATCCTTTAAAAAATGTAGGATCTCCCCTAATTTTTGACTAGATGTCCTCAAAACTTTGGTTTGAAGGGTTTATTTTCTTTGGCAACGTACGCAGAGCGGTGGAAAAGCCAGCGTGCGAAATTTTAACCCAAAGGTTCCTTTGACGGGGTATTTACCCATTAGCAGGCCAGGACAGAGTATTTTTAATCCACATCTGGACCTATCCTCTTTGATGTCAACAGACAAACGGACATACACTTAGCACACGCGCACACCAAACACACACCTACAGACAGACAGACACACACACACACACACACACACACCAGTCGTATTACGTTGTATCCACAAATCTCTCATTCTGTGTTAGATCTGTGAATTGTTTTTTACGGCGTCCACCGATTTTCCTCAAAGCTCGCCTCTTGGTTCCCACTGCCTCAGTCACTCGGTCGAGTGAGATCCGATCCGGTGGATCCGGGCAAATAAGCGCACTTCGTTTGTCTGACAGCCATGCACTCGTGCTTTTCGCGCCATGCTGTGCTACCTGTTTACCTGAAATATCTTGCATTTACCACAGTGCATTTTTTGAAGTCAGATTTCCTTTCTTTTTATTGGTTATTTTGATCGTGATACGCTACGCTAGGGGTGCAGTCGCCAAAACAATATGCAGATGTTTGCTGAGTGGACTTATTGCGGAACCGAGCGTTGTCATCATCGTCACCGTCATCATCAGCAGTGGACCGCCAAAATGATGGAGCTGCTGGAGTAATTATGATCTCGCTCTCTCCTTCCCTCTTCGTCTGAATGTTTATCTCGCTCTCTCCCTCCCTCTCCGTCTGTATGTCTACCTCACTCCCCCTCCCCCCTCCCTCTCTCTCTCTCTCTCCCTCCCTCTCTCCAGCCACAGTGCGGCGGCGGCATCCCATTGCAAACCGTCCCGAGGCGGTATAGGGGAAGAAAGTTAGCGGCTCAATAACTTGTCGAGCCTCCTGCTGCTCTCCGCCGCCGCCCCGCTTTGGCAGAGCTTGTCCGCTGATGCTACAGCCGGGGCTACAGCCCCGCGGTGGAGCCACCCGAACGCCTCTCCGCGCCCCGTGTTACTGTTGCGTCGTCGTCAAAATCCCTTGGAGAGCATAAAAGGGGGAAAATTAGGGAGATGCGTAAAAATGTAAGGCACGCACGCAACGCGTGCCTGTTTGGTTGTCTGCGTCATGTCGTATCACCCTAGTTCTACCACAATAAATTCACTGATAACTAAGCCGAATACGTGTAAGTGTTCAACCCGGTAGATGTGCAATTACAAGAATACAACTCCTTGGTTGAGTACTTCCTACATAGTGAGCAATCAATCTAAGGAATTGTTTAACCGAGGATTTGCACACTTGCAAGTGGTCGCCTACCGGGTTGAACACTTGCAAGTGTACAACTACAGAGTTGCACACTTGCAAGTATTCAACTTGCCGTTGCACACCTAAAGGTGTTGAGCAGTTGCACACTTAGTTTATGAGTTTATCAGTGTTGGCACAAGCCACATTTGTCTGTCAGCTGCTAACATTTTTGACATTTTCCCACATTGTTTCTCATTAAGCAGCAGAACTGAAACATGTGTGTTTCTTGTTTTGTTTTTTTGTCTACTTGCCCTGTGTCCCAGGACTCTTTTGCTCCTCTTTTCGCCCGTGCGCTTTGCTGACCGCTACTTCTCTCAAGAGAAAAGAGGAGGAGCGCGCAACGCACTCAGCCAGCGGAAGTCGCGCTGCCGGACGAGCCGACGACATCCAGCCACATGCCAACTCCAGGCAGGGGCTGCAATTTCCTCTTTTGAGAGCGATCCGTCGTGCAGCGAGGCTTGGCGGGCCGGGCCGGGCCAGCGAGGTGGGCACTGGGCACGGTCCTGTGCGGTCGAGACAGACCCTATACGGATGCTCAAGGGGAGAAAGGCAAGGCAAGAGCTAAGAAGTGTCCGACATGGTCGCACACTCTTCATTAGAAAGCATTAGCAACAACATAAATAAACGTTACGCGGGGAACGTTTTCTCTCTCTCATTTTTTTAAAATTTGTCGTCCAGTCTAAATCTTTATAGTGCATGAAACACGTATGAATAAAAACGCAAAAGTGTCACACTAAGTGAATGTTTTAAATAACCCAGCGGGTTAATCTTCAAGGAAGCGATTCTAGTTATAGAAGGTGTTTTTCCAACACACACTCTGTAATTAAATGTTAAAAATTATAAATGGCCGACGATATGACGTGGTGTTTGCCGGCCGGCTGGGCCCACCGCGCTATGAGCCCAGTTGCGTAATCTCCTCCCAGGCCCGGCCTCGGCCGGCGGGCGGCGGGCCCAACTTCCGGTGCGTAATTTGGGTCGACCTTCCCCGTAGTCACGGTTCGCGGTGGCGTAGCTCAAAACAGAAAGAGTCACGAATCTCTTTGGTTTTCGGCTGCTTCAAATGAAGAACTGCCGCATCTGCCCCCCCCCCCCCTCCCTAGGGCTAACGTGCCCATGAAACACTACGTTGCATTCTTTTAAGTGTTTGACTGGACATTTGATCATTAAAAAGTGAAGAACAGTAAAGTTGAATTCAAAATTGTTTAACTCAATAGGTTTATCGCCCATGAAGCCTCGGACTCTCTAATTTACTGTTGAACACTTATATAAATTGTTGGAATTTCCAGTCTGACAGCCCGACACGGGATTACTTATAAGCACTCTGAAAGGGAGGAAATTTATTCAGCTACAGTAAGGCATCCCGCGGTCGCGGTACATCTGCGGACCTTGTGTACCG